AGGGAGGGGAAAAGGAAGGCAACTGCAGAGCAAGACGCTAAAGGGATTCATCCAGGGCAAAGCTCAGCTGGGCTGGTGGTTGCGGGGGGTGGGGAGCTCTTTGAGGAAGTGATGTCGGCTCAGACCCATAGGTTTAGTAGAAGGTAACTGGGCAGTGTTTGGGGCAGGCGGTAGGGGATGGGTGAGGACCTTCCACGCAGAGGGAACAGCATGGGCAAAGTCTCACACACCTCATTCAGCACAGTTGGTGGGCGTGGCGCAAAGGCGGGTGGAGATGTTCACCAGGGGCAGCCTGAAGGGTCCGAGTGTCCTTAGTAAGAAGCCAGGATTTTTCTCCATGTGCTGTGTGGAGCATGGAGGGGAATTTTAGGCAGGGGTAGGCCATCCTGGATTTTGTCTGTCAGGAGGCCCAGGCTTTTGGAAACATCTCTGCTGCCCTCCCCAGGTGACGCTGGAGTGCCCCGGCCACGAGGAGGTGCCCAGGGTGGACAAGCTGGTGGAGAAGATCGTGCACTGCAGCTGCCAGGCGTGCGGCAAGGAGCCGAGTCACGAGGGGCTGAGTGTCTACGTGCAGGGCGAGGATGGCCCGGGCTCCCAGCCGGGTACCCATCCCCACCCCCATCCTCACCCCCACCCTGGCGGGCAGACCCCTGAGCCCGAGGAACCCCCTGGGGCCCCCCACACCGAGGAAGAGGGGGCTGAGGACTGAGGCCCTCGACTCTTCCTCCCCTCTCGTCCCCCGTGGAATGCTGGGGGAAGCGTGTGGGGAGAGGCTGGAGCCCCCCTTTGGCACTGGATGGACTTGGATTCAGACTTGGACTTGGAATGCTTCCCGGTTGCCATGGAGATCTGAAGGGAGGGGTTGGAGCCAAGCTGCACAATTAATATATTCAAAAGTCGGGGGAGGAAGCCGAGGTCTTCAGGGTTCTTTTTTGGAGGGGGGGTTCTATTCCTTTCTGCCTCCTAGAGATGTGCCCTTTGGAGGGGAAGGAAGTTGGCTAAGCTGCTGAGGTAAGGGTGAGGCCATCCAAGATGGCAGGAGCCAGGCCAAGGCCCATGCAGCCTCTGGTGGGGCAGGGCCCCTGGTACAGTGGTAGAGCTGGGCCCTGAGCTGAGGGTGGGCACCTTGCCAGAAGTGGCCCTGAGGGAGGGCTGGGTCCGGGCTAGGAAGACCACTGGCCGAGGCAGGGAGCTCCAGCCCCACAGGCCTCTCCAAAGACTTCCCACCCCATGCCCATGCCCATGCCCATGCCCAGGGCAGCTTCTCCCGGTGGCACTGAAGAGGCCCTCCCTCCATGCTTGGGAGTCAGGCCTGGGCAGGACCCTGCTGACTCATGGCCCTGGAGCCAGGGGCCAGGCTCTTTGGGCCTCTGGCTTTTTGGCTTTCCAGGGAGGGAGGCAAGGAGGAGTCTTCCTAGGCCAGGGGGTGGGAACGAACCCCCCCACCCCGGACCATCACCTAGAAGAGCCTCCCTCCCTCTTCTCAAATCTTAGTGCCTCCCACTGCCCCCGAAGTTCTAGGCCCCTCAGAAAGCATATGGAGCCAGCCTCACCCTGCTTTGGGAACTCTAAATATCTGATGGTGGGGAGGAGTCTCCCTTACTCAGATTCCAAGGAGGGACCTGGGTGGGATGGATTCCACCTGAGCCTCAAGAAAGGAAGAGGTAGTGAAGGCTCCTGTGGGTGGGGTGTTCACTGTGGCTCTCTAGCTGCCCAATCCCACCGGCCTGCCCCCTCCCACTGCACTTTAACCCTAGAGGGGGTGCGGGACCCGGACTGGGGCCCTGGGGCTGGGCAGATGGGCAGGAAGAACTGCCTGTGTCCACTAGTCTGTGCCCATGGCTTCCAGCACCGCCGGCCCCCTGCCTGGGGGTGCCCCGCCCCTCACGGCTGTTCTGACAAGAGCTTCTGGAGCTTGTAACCAGTAGATTGTCTCCCTGCCGGACCCTGAGTGTTCTCATGAATAAATTCGTTGAAAGCCTGTGTTCTCTTTCTCGCTGGCTGGCTCAGCTGACCCAGGGTTCCCCAGGGGCCCAGCAGCAAGGCCTAGGGGAGGGGTCAGGCTGCACAGTGCACCCTGAGCAGACCCTCCTGCATCATGGTGACCCCTTCACTTTCCTGCCGTGTGCACCCCTGGGCCCTGTCTCCCCAGCTCCCACCTCTCCTTGGGTGCCCGTTTCTTGCCTTGCTTGTATCTTCTGTGGGCTTCCCAACTGGGCTTTTCTGGTTTTGCTCCTGGGTCCCTTGGGCCTGCCTCATGCCTTCCCTTTTCACCCTCACAGTGACCCAGCCTCGGTCCTTCCCTGTACCCCAGCCTAGCCTGGCCCAGTAGAAGGGGAAACATAACTGGTACTGTGGTAAAGACGACATAAATAACTCTCCTGACCCTCCCCATCCCTGTGATACAGGCATTGCCCTCATTTTGCAGGTGGGGCATCTGAAGTGCAGAGGGATTAAGTCATGTTCCAGGGGCATCCAGTTAAGAAATGTCACCGATAGGACTCAAACGCTGGCAGCCCGGCCTAATCACTCAGCTCTTGGTATGACCTTAGTAGTTGCCAGTTCTCAGTTACCTGCTGTGTGTTGGGCCGGTCCTGACACCTCACAGGGAACCTACATTACCCCCATGCAATTGAGTTTGGGCCCCTCCCAAGTTCTCTGTTGAAACAGGACAGCGTGAGGGCTATGACCTTCCTTCCTCACACACATTGCTGTAACCACCACATACCAGCCAATTTACATATATTATTTCTTGGAAAATGCTCATCTCGTTAATGAGAAAAATGCAGGCCTTCATGCCCTGGGAGTGATTTGCCCATGCTGAGGAGTAGTGGTTCCCCAATTTCTAACCGGGCGCCCTCTAATGAGGACGGCTGTGTACCATAGGTGATTTCCTTAGTGTTCCCAAGCCTTTCCTTCATGGCTGCCCTCTGCACTTCCGTGCATGTTACCTGCATCCCTACTTGAGAATGGCACTTCTTGCAGTTGTGCAGAACACAACTTGCATGGCCATCCATGGTGGCCCTGCATCCCTTGACGTTGAATTGGGTTGGAGAGAAGTATATCTCCGTGCAGACTTCAGTTACCCCTCAGTCTTGGAGGGAGAAGCCCTGGCCATATTAATCTTTCTAGATGGCTGGAGGTGAGCACTCACTGGAGGGTGCAGAGAAAGTCCCGCAGGGCTTCAGAAGACTCCGAGACCAGGTCCAAATGAAAGACTGGGCTGTGGTTTTGGTGCTGGGCCTCTGAGACCTGAGCACTAGAGTCTTGGCATCATGTGTCTTGGTCAGGAGCTGCCTCCATCCTGTGTATGGGACCAGGCAGGGTATAAATTCATAGAAACATAAATTAATAGGCTGCCTGGAAAGAAAGCAGGGGGTGGGTTGGCGGGACTGGTGGCAGGCCTGGAATGCTAGAGTTCAGGCTTCATTCTCTGCAGTGAGAGCCCTGGAAGTGTCTGCGCGCTGAGTCTGAGACTCAGAGAGGCTCGTGGGAGGAGGGGGGAGGGGGAGACCCGCTGGGAACTGCAGGAGCGCAGGCGGCGGCTGGCAGCCAGAGGTGGGCGGGAGCAGCGCCTGGGGGGCGGGGCCCCGCGAGGGAGCCGCTGCTGATTGGATCTGGGAGCAGCGGGTGGGAGGAGCCAGGTTTGAGGGTCGGGAGACGCGCGGCTGGTTGCGGTAGTTTGCCGTCGGGAGTGAAAGGTAAAGCGGGGACTGCGGGTTTTTTCTCTTCGCCAACCTCAAAATGAACCACGACGGCCTAGGGAAAAAAAGTGCAGCTCCCCCCGCGCCGCCCCGCCACCTCATCCGCAAGGGATTAAACATCTTTACGGGGGATTGACGCTGGCACGCAGCACGGTCAGCGCAGCCCCCTCCCGATGGGCCGGTAAGTGGCCCCCCTTCCCCGCCTTGTTAGTTTGTATGAAGCCAACAAACCCCATCTAGTTTTTTTGTTTGTTTGTTTTTCTTCCAGCTCCAAGCCTCAGGGAAAACCCAGCCTGCCTGGGTTCAAATCCTGCCGGGGCCACTTCTTAGCTGTGCAATCTTGAGCAAGTCACTTAAAATCTCTGAGGCTCAGTTTCCCCATCGGTAAAATGGGGACTAAGGATCACACACCTTCTCTTCGCTCTCAGGGTCGTGGTGAGCTCTACATAAATCACGGTATAGAGCTTGAGACAGTGACTGGCCTATAGTAAGACCTGGGTAAACGTCAGCCACTATTAAAATGACAGAGAATGAATGATTGGCCCATAACTGCTTGTGGTTGGGCTGATGGTCTTGTTCACTCATTCACTGCACGTATATTTACCGACAGCCTAACATGAGCAGAGGATACAGCAGTGAGCAAAACCAACAGACCCCTCCATCACGGAGTTTACCCAGCTGGTCAATGTCTTCTGTGAGGGCGGCTTTGAGCAGGGCCTCAGTTTCTCCATCTCCGCGATGAGGAGCTCTCTTTGGTCCTCGATGTACTGACAAAAACGGAGGCCTGGGGTAGAGGACTTCCTAAGTCTTAGTTGTCCCTTCTCCTCTAGGGAGAGAGCACCCCGTGGCTAGAAGTAACCAACCAAAGGCTAAGCACCCTGGAAGGTCCCTTTCTACCCTAAAATGTTAAGGAAGTCTAGGACATTATTAATCAATTACAGAAATCATAAATTTAGGAGCATACACACTTAAGAACTTCTGAAAAGTTCTTAAATTCAAGATAATAACAGTGCGGCCACAAGGTGGCACCACCACCCAGGCCCAAGCTTGAGAACATTTTTTAAAATTATAGCAAAGTACAGATCATAATATAACAACCATCTGTGAATCTATCACCCAGTATGAAGAAATGTTAACATTTTTGTTATGTTTTCTTTAGGTCTTTTTTTAAAAAAAATTAAGGCTATCAAACATTACAGCAAAAGTTAAAGCAGAGGGACTAATATTCTACCCCACTATATACCACTAGTTTTTCAAAGCTAAAATTTATCAGGCAGCTCCTCTGTGTGAAATGGTTTAAATACTCATTCTGTTCACATCTTCACCACTCCAGTTTCATAGCAGCATAAAACTTGGCTTTGCCAAGTTCACAGAACACGTAGCAGAATCAGAATTATGAACCCAGGCCACTGGGCTCCAAAGTCTGCTGTACACAGCACCTCTCAGGTTTGCTGTTGGCTGACCAGGAATCCCTGGGCTGAAGGATTTACTGCAGGGCTGAATGCATTCCCATTGTTCAGATGGGAATGCTGAGGCCAACAGCTAGCACTGACACAGCACCATAAAGTTTACAGATTACACCAGGGGCATTTCATCCCCTTGACAACCCTGTGAGGTGGATGCTGTATTACTCTGCTCACTATTGCAGACAAGAACATAGTGACCCAAGGAGATGGAGCCACTGGCCCTAAGTCCACAGAGCTGGAAAGCAGCAGCAATGGGATCCCAAATCTGGTCTTTATGGCATTCACCCCATGCTTGGTATACTATACCCTGTCAGGGTGGTACAGGTGGTATTGAGAGGGACAATAGGCCTCCTCCCCCTGCTGCATAGACCTGTCTGTGGGCAAGAAGTGGGCTCTGAGCTCCAAAGAGTGGCTCATGGGTGGGTGAAGGGTGGTGTAGGGTCTTAAGGTTTCTCTGCTTTGGGTGTTGAGCAGACCCAGGTTTCAGTTCCACTTGTTCACTTGCTGCTGGTGACGTTGCCTCACCCAGCCCCAGTTTAACATCTCTCTCTCGGCATTATTATAGATGTCAGAACAATATAATAAAGCCTTTGGAACATAGCAGGACTCTCATATGTGGGAGCTGTAGGGGTTCAGAACAAGTCATTGAAAGATGTGCCTCCGTGGTTCAAAGATTCTTTGCAGCTGAAGGCAATGGGGACCCTGTGGGCTCAAGAGAAACTTGGACCTCTCTTAAAGAATTTAAATTTGGGCCCTTGCCCATGGTAAGAGTTATCTCCAGAAAGAACCTTTTTTGACTTCTCTGTGGCAGGGTGAACATCGAATTACTGAACACCTGCTGTTCTCCATCTGTGAATGGCCCTCCCTTCTGCAGCCGAAGGCCCTGCCCTCATCCTAGCTCAGGATGTCATGTAGGTCGCGTTCTCTGCATTTCTCTCTCTGAACTTCTCCTGTATGTGGGGCTCCCATATGTACATATGCAATGAAATTTGGTTATTTTCTCTTGTTAATCTGTCTCATGTCAATTTGACCATTAGGCCAACTGGAAGAACCTAGAAAGGTAGAGTACAGTTTCTTCTGCCGCACTGGAGGTATTCCTTTTCTGTTTCTATGGAGGGAAAGGCCCCCCCATCCCCCGATTTACTTTATATTTTCCCCCATTTCCTTTTTTTCTGTGGCAATTGTCACTTTATGACTAAGCATCTATTATGTTTATTGTTTATTGCCTGTCTCCTTCCACTAGAATGTAAATTCCACAAAGCTGGGATCTCTGTTTTGGTTACTGTAGTGCCCCAATTGGTTAGAACAGTGCCTGACACCTACTAGGTGCTCAATAAACGCCTGTTGAGTGAATGAATGGAATTCATAATATTAATCTGAGTCATAATATTAACCTGTGAAGTCAGATAAAGAATCTTCTTAGCTAGGGGAAGAGATACATAATGGGGCCACACCCTACCCCTCTACCTGCAGCGACTCTACCCTCCACCTGGCCTGGAGTTTCCCAGATCTGTTCCCACTCTGTTAAACTGGCAGTGCCCACAGGTCAGGGGCTTCCTCCTTAGCGCCTGGTGCTGTTGGGGAGAGGGATGGTTTCCGCTGGGAAGACCCGGAGGAAGAGGTAACCTGCTGTTTAAAGCTTTGAAGGAAGTATTGTAGAGGTTATTATATATTATCTACATTATGTATAATACTATATATGTACATATGTGTATACACGTGTGTGTACACATATGGGTGTCAAGCGATCCGCCCAATATCTCCCAGTGGGCTCCGGCTGACAGTGCGGTGGCCGGGCTGCGGGCGGGCAGACCCGCATGGGGGGCAGACCCGCATTGGGGGGCAGACCCGCATGGGGGGCAGTCCTTGGTAAAGGCGGGCCACAGCCGCCTCCTCTGAGTTCCTCCTGCGCCGCCGCCACGTGTGGGTTGGGGAGGGGTATGCGGGGCTGTGAGGCTGCCACAGCTGGGGAGGCGACCTGCTGCAGCTGGGGCACTCGGATCGTCTCTCCAAAGG